AGATGTCAGTGTGTGTGTACTAGTGACAGATGTCAGTGTGTGTGTACAAGTGACAGATGTCAGTGTGTGTGTACAAGTGACAGATGTCAGTGTGTGTGTACTAGTGACAGATGTCAGTGTGTGTGTACTAGTGACAGATGTCAGTGTGTGTGTACTAGTGACAGATGGCAGTGTGTGTGTACAAGTGACACGACATAATGTTACATACGTACGTGGCAACATAGTGAGACCAGGTGCTCGTCAAAATAATGAAATAGAAGGAACCAATATTTGTCCACTTGTTGGGGGAATTTGTACAAATAATTTCTGTTGGGGGGTTCCACATCTTTTATGTCCTTTAAAAAAAATTAGGTGCAGATTTTACTGAAAAGCGTTCGTCAAAAGCAACAACAAAAAAGTAAATTTGCAGCGTCCAAGGCTTTGAAAATCACCAAACTTAGGTGGTTATTTTCCCCTTAACTAAGCTCTGACTAAGAGAAGGTGATCGCACTTTTTTCAATCACAAATAATATCTCAACTTATTTTTAAGACAGGTTGGTACTTTCTTCATCCTAAGCAAGGCAAGTGAACAAGCTTTAAGACTATACCAATGACTCCATATGCCCAAAAATTGATGAGCGCCTGATTCCCCAGCATTGTGACATAAATATGTACTGTCCACTGCAAGTGTACATACCACAAGCCCCAGTTCTCCTCCATGTATGGGAATCAACAAGCAGCAATACTTAATTATATTATACTGTCTGTTCTCAACTTGCCAAAAATTACATCGGCACATCTCAGAACAAGAGAAAATAGTTTGCCTGGGATTTATTCTAAGCTCTATGCACATCTTTCATTCTTATACAAACAAACTTAAACTTAAGTCACCCATTCTCACTCAATTTTCATTGAAAAGGCTGTAGGCCTACTGCCCGTCAGTTTTAAGGCTATTAAAATAAATCACCCTGACCAAAGTAATGAAGTGCTTTTTTCCCACTGATGAAAACAAGTGGATTCCCTTTTGGAAAATGATATTGGATTTGGAATACTTTGCATTTGAGAATTTTGGTGAGCTTTTTTTATACTTTTGTCATAAATGCTAGGTAAAGTTATGTAACTGTTTACACATAGCACACAGAAAAGTCTGCAAAAAAATTATCCTTTCTTACTACAGACTTCCAGCTCGGCTTAAATTCAAGGGAAATGACTGTTGATGATTCCCACCCCTCATTATTGCAGCTGTTGCTTCCCTTTGGACAGGAAAAAATCAGTAAGTCTCAGTTTGTAACAATTGCGAGCACGGGGACGGGGCGGTTCTCCAGCTTTCTCGTAACAGTTGCAAGGTGGGGGATGAGTGAGTTAAGAAAGGAGCAACTGCAAGAGTTCTGAATGTCTGGGTGAGAATTAACCGTTCACTCCATAACCGCGAGTGGACAAAGGGAGCGTCCAGTGAAACTCGCCCGGTCCTCAAGTGGATGGTCCCAAACCTGGGAGAAATAATTGGGGACTGCCGAAAAAGCACCATTCTTAGCTTGAATTTTGATTTTCTGGTTTTAGTGTTTCCTTCCAGTCTCAGGCTTAGTTCAGTCCTCAACGATTACCTGGCAATTCAGGGTCTCTGGCATTCAGCTTCGGACTTTAACACATTACACCCTAAGGGCCTGGACGGGAAGTCCATTCCTAGATCCTAAGCAAGGGGAAAGAACCCACCTCCCCTGAATACTAGCCTTTAAAAAACACATTTTAAAAATACTAAACAAATTCCAAAAATCCTGAAAAAATAAAAGTTAAAAAGAAAACTGAATGTAGTTTCAGAAAAATATAACTTTATGTATGCACAAACTGTTGGAAATGTTCTCACTTTAGTTCAATCGGGGTGTCCGACCCGTCACTCTCACTCTCAGCCTCGCGGTCGGGCCCTAGATCTAAATTCTATAATTTCTCCGTCTGATCAATCGGAATCGCCCCAAACTCTTCCTACAACGTTTTCATCAAAATCTGAGCCATCTGATTTGTCACATGCTCGTTTTTGCTCAAATCCATCGTTATTTCCGTTTTCGAACTCAATTGTGTCGCTTTTCAACAAGTCGAGGCACTTTCGAAGTGTCGGTAACGCGATCGCACTTCGATCAGCTCTAATACTAAAACTACTAGCCCGAAAAATTTCGTTTCGGTATCAAACGAAAGAAGAAACTTTTTGCTATACTATGCAAATCAAAATCCCGGCCCCAGAGTCTCGTCAAGGCGAGACTTTCGTTTCTAAAGACGCTGGGTCGGCGCGGGCGGTTCCGGGCGAGTCAGGGTGGAGCGCGTAAGGGAATTCCCGGGCGATCCCGGGCGAGTTAGGGTGTAATGTGTTAACGTACGAAACTGCAAAATCACCTTTAAAGCTTAGGTGAGATCGCATGTTCTGTCAGTGAGTAGCTTCCACTTAAATTCCTTCCTCTAGTTAGTTCGAAGTACGGCTGTGGTCAGGCTAGTCACCTATCAGCCGTTCGTTGCTTTCATTGCTTGTTCCTTCCTGCTCATTGTTTTCACACTCTGTTATCTGTAGGTTGGTGCTCATGGATCTGGCAGTTTGAAACCAGTCTAGGTTCATAGAGAATTTATGTTCCTTCCAGACCATGTCAATCCTATTCTTGAAAGCATTCAAGGATAGTGCAGACACTACATTTTCCGGTAGGGAATTCCAAGCGTTAACTGTGCGTACACTCTCTTTATTTTAGATAAAATCATAGTATTGTATAGAGCCAGTTAATAGACACGCATCGGGTATTTTAAAAAAAATCTTTAGACTCTAGTTCATTTCATTGTCAAGGATAAAATTAAAATTAATGGGCCTATAATAATAACATGCCATCACCGAGTAGTTTAAGGTTCTAAAACAATATTAAACCCTTTGAGGGTCTTAGTTTTCAACCTACCCTTCAGATCGAAAAAATATAAGGTGCTGTGCTTGTCACCCTAGAGATTTACTACCAAAGGCGGGCAGAGAATTGTAGATTTTCTGTTACAACTTTCTCCAACTCTGAGCCTAATCATAATAGGACGTCCGCCATGTTTGTGTCTTGTTGCCATGTAGTGACAAGGATGTCTTCCGGTGTCGGATTACAGCACTCAATGTCAGCATACAAAAAGCTGCCTTGTCGGTGGGTTGTACGAACAAAGCCTTTGTCAAATGTGATGAACCGTCTTCCTGAAATTAATGCACTCAAAAATGATTAAAGATTGGTGCATAGCTACTTAACATATATTTGATAAATCGCGCAATGACATTTCGATGTCCTGTACTGCTGTACTGCTGTTATCATCATGACTGTGCACCGTAAACATACACCCTTTTGACCTTTGCACCGGAAACATATTGGATAAACTTGGGCCTATTTTGTGTCCTGTTGGTCTGGTTCACTGAGACTAGGCCTAGCAGAAGTGGCAGTCACCCGGTGGAGTTTGTCTATGTCAGCCCGTTTCCTATCATCAAGAATGGCACCCATCGTGAAGAAGTTCGACTATCTCGTCATTGGTGGAGGCTCTGGTGGCATTGCAAGTGCCAGAAGAGCAGCAGAATTTGGCATCAAGGCTGCTGTCATCGAGGAAGGAAGATGGGGAGGGACATGTGTGAGTCCCTACATTTCATTTAGACTTTTATAGAATCTATTATAATATGTTGCTCATTGTGCCTTGCATTGTAACTATTACACAGCATGACTTGACATTTTTTTTAAATTGTAAAAGCAAAATGCTAGATCTAGAATCTAGTGGTGCTTTTTCTATACGTTTGATTAGCGGCAAGCTAAGATATCAAACCTAACAACTGCAAAACATTTAATTGTGGTTAAAGTCAGGGGGGCATGCCCCCCTGAAACCCCCCATCTTATTTATATTAGGTCAGGGGGGCAAGCCCCTGAAACCCTCCCTACCCTTGGGGCCTTTACCCGTGAATAACAATTGCGGGGTGGGAACAACGGAAAAAGCCCCGATCTAGTCTAGATCTATATTCTAGATATATATCTAGATCTAGATCTAGATCTATAGATTCTAGATCTAGATTTAATCTAGATTCTAGATCTAATCTATAGATCTATATCTAGATCTAGATCTAGATTCTAGATCTAGAGTACCTGGCCCAACCCGCGACCACTTGTCGTATTTTGCTTCTCAGCTGTCTCTGTCAGCAAAATAGGTCAGGCAATCCATGTTCAGGGCCGCTTCAGTGTGTCAACTTCCTGTTTATATACTGTGATATCGTCAATCATTCCAAAACGTCATACGCAGATTTCGCATTTTAACATGTTAATGCTCTGCCCTTGGCGCGACCGCATGCCCTCAGCGCGACCGCATGCCCTCAGCGCGACCGCATACGGAACAGGGCGCGACCATGCGCGCACAGATATGACAGGTGCAAGAAAGTTGTTAGTACACCATTTAAAGGTTAGTAAAATCATTTCTTTATTCTCAATGGATATCAAGGACGGAAAATGCTGCTGCGACAAGGAGTACCCCAAGGTGGAGTCATGTCACCTTTGCTCTTTATCCTCTTCATCAATGACCTCATGAATGAACTGCCCAAAGGAATACATGCCGCATTGTATGCAGATGACCTGGTTCTTTGGTGCTCTAAGGAATTCGTCACTACAGCCACATATCGCATGCAACTAGCATTGGACAAACTCACTACATGGACAAAAACCTGGTGTGTAACCGTAAACAAAGAAAAGTCTTCTGCTACACTCTTCACTCTCAGCCAGGCTGAGCCAAAACACCTCACATTAGACAAAAACCCCCTAAAGTTTGAGAATCAACAGAAGTATCTTGGAATAATCTTTGACAAGCGTCTCACATGGAAACAACACATTCAGAATGCAGAAAATAAAGCCAGGAAGAAACTTAACATCATGAGAAAACTAGCAGGGACTCTGTGGGGAGCAAATGAGAAAACACTTAGACAGGTCTATCTGGGCGCAATCAGGCCCCATCTTGAGTACGGATCCAGTGCATGGATGACTGCAGCACAGACTCACAAGTACACTCTGGAAAAAGTGCAAAACCAGGCTCTCCGAATAATCACTGGAGCAATGAGGTCAACGCCTATAGAAAAGATGGAACAAACAACATCTATAGTGGCCCTGCAGAGGAGATGGGAATGCAAGGCCCTCATACAGTATACCAAGGCCACAGCTATGGAGGATCGTATACTGCTCACGAGAACAGCGAGATCAAACACCGCAAGACTCAAAAGATCCAACTTCATCAAAGAAAGCAGAAAAATCCAAAGATCCGTACAGACCATGTACCAGCCACAGTGAACGTGCTGAACCACACCCCAGAGGCACCATCACGGGAAAAGACAAACACAAACATATTTATACACTCGTCCATTCCTATGTTCACCACAAAAGATGACCACAGCGACCTGAGCAAGAAGTCCCTCACCCTGTCCATGCTTGAAGAAAGATACCCACGAGAGGCATGGATAAGGATCTATACAAACGGATCTGCCACTGATGCTGTGAAAAGAGGAGGAGCCGGAGTGTACGTACAGTTCCCAAATGGACGACGACAAGCAGAGGCAGTCCCAACAGGGCGACATTGTACAAACTACAGGGCAGAGACGGAGGCTCTAGTACATGCAGCAAACAT